GTTACATAGGCATAGAGCTATCACTAAAAAGATAATCCCTGTGAGCACCAGATTTAGCTAGACTATCAGCTTCAGAGTTTAGTTCCTTCGGAATCCAGACCACATGGGCATTTAAAGAAGCAAGAATTTCTCTCGCTTCAGCCAGGTAGTGAGCTAAGGCTCAAGTAGGGGTGAGCATTCGGTTAAAAACCGAACCGAATAAACCAAAATTTTTAAAACCGAAATTCAAAAATGAAAACCGAATTATAATAAAACCGAACCAAAATTTTTGGTTCGGTTTTTGGTTAAAAATCGAATTTAATTAATATATACATAATATTATATATTATAACCTATATAATATATATATATATTATTATAATATATATTATGAAATTTAATTTCATTATAATACATTATATATAATATATTAATATATAAATATATAACATATTATATATTGTATATTATATAATAAATTTTAGTTAATTTGGTTTTTTCGGTTAACCGAATTTCTAAATCTAAAAACCAAAACCGGAAACCGAATTACCCAAAAACCGAAACCGAAATTTTTGGTTCGGTAATCCGGTTTTAACCGAATAATGCTCACCCCTAGGCCCAAGTCTCATTTATGGTAAGATTTAGTAAGCCCATGTCTTTTGCAATCTTGATGCCGGTTAGAGCTGCCATGACTTCGGCCTTTGTTGAGGAGACAATCCCAATCAGCCCACTAAAAGCCCAACTGATACCATTTCTATTTCAAATTACACCTCCAATACCCGCTACACCTGGGTTTCCAAAAGCACTCCCATCAAAGTGCAAGGTCGTCTCGCCATCCACATCCGATCTGAAGCTACGGGGAGTGATGAGTTGTATTTGATTAGAGTGAAGGAAATTTACTGCATTTCTTTGGAGGTCATCAAAGGTTACACCTCTGAAGTGAGATGAACTGGAAGTCCACAAGAAGCATTTGTAACATATTAGAGAAATCAGCTCCTCAAAGTCTTTTGTTCTGTTGGTGAACACCCGGTTATTTCTCTCTTCCCAAATGCTCCAGAAAATAGCATGTGCAGCAAATTGCCATAAAATTTTCCCTCTTTTGCTTAATCCTCTTCCTGACCATTGCCCTAAGCATTCAACCACATTTTCTAGGAACACCCAACTGTATTCAAATAATGATAGAAAAAAAATCCACAATTTTCTAGTTTCCTCACAGCATAGTAGAATATGGTTGGTAGATTCCCCAGCTTTAAGGCAAAAACAACTAACATGTGGAGATACATAAGACCTACCATGGTTCTTTTTCTGAAGGAGGTCATAAGTGTTGATTTTCTTTAAGATGGCTTCCCACAAAAAAAATACAAACCCAGGAAGGGATATGAGCACACCAGATTCTCTTGTAGGGGTATTGATCAGTAGTTTGTTCTTCCCTAACTAAAGCCTTGAAGAAAGATTTGGTTGAAAATTTACCTGATGGGTGAAGGATCCAAACACGAAGGTCAGGGGAATTTTGTGAGAGGTATACCTCTCTCAAGGTGTGCAAGAAACTAGTGATTTCACTAAGTTCCAGGTTCCTTAGAGGTCTCCTAAGGGTTAGATTCCAATTGAAATAAGGGGGGAGGGGGATAAAACCTGGGATATGAAAGCTTCTTGGTTTAAGGTAAGGCTGAATAGGCGAGAGAAGGTGTTGGCTAAGGTAGAATTACCCCACCAAAGGTCAGTCCAAAACTTATTCTATCGCCCTTTCCCACTTTATATCTGATAAAGGATATGAAAAAATTGTAAGTCGAGATTATACCTTTCCAAGGGTAGGTGTCTTTGAGTCGATTCAAGTGAAGCTTGCTATCCCACCTGTTGATGTGCTTTCCATATTTTCTAGTGATTACAATAGTCCAAAGTGCACTTGGCTCTAGAGGGAATCGCCACAACCATTTACTAAGAAGAACTGTGTTTCTTTCTTCCAAATGACCTACTCCCAATCCTCCATCCTCCTTTGGTTTGCTAACCTGAGACCACTTTTCAAGGTGAGAGCCCCTTTCCCCCCCTCCTTCCCAAATAAAGTTTCTCTGAAGTTTTTCTAACTGAATGGCTATCTTGTTGGGCATGCGGAAGATAGAAAGGTAGTAGGTGGGAAGGTTTGCCAAAGATGCTCTAAGAGTGAGCCTCCCCCTTTTGACAAGTAGTTCCTTTTCCATGTGGCTAGTTTCTTCTCACATTTTTCTAGAATTGGATCCCAAAAGCTTTGATTTTTCGGATTCCCTCCAAGAGGTATCCCCAGATAGGAGAAGGGGAGATTTTCTGCTTTACACCCCAAGATCTCTGTGAAAATATTCAAGCATTGAGCATCAGCTAGATTTAGGCCAACAATACTGCTCTTTGAGAAGTTTACATGCAGTCTAGAAATCCAATCAAAACAGGTGATGACCCTTTTTCAGATTTGACACAAAAACTTCATCAGCCTCTAAAAAAAGGATAGTGTCATTGGCAAACTGGAGATGAGATATTTGGGTGGCTTCCCGTCCGACTTCAAATCCTCTCAATAGTCCAAGAGAGGTAGCCTTATTCACCAGTTGGCTAAAAATTTCTGTGACGAGAGTAAAAAGCAATGGGGAGAGGGGGCAGCCTTGTCTTAGGCCTCTGCTGGCGTTAAAATATCCTTTTGGCTGCCCATTAATTAAAACGGAGAACCAAGTGGAACTTATACATCCCTCAACCCATTGAATCCACTTGTTTCCAAATCCCATTAGTCTCATAATTTCTATGAGACACTCCCAATCTACTTTATCATACGCTTTTTCCAAATCGAGTTTCACAATCACACCTAGTTTGCCATTCAGCTTCCTCTCTTCAACGCATTCGTTTGCTATCAGGATGCTATCAATGATTTATCGCCCTTTGACGAATGCAAACTGATTCGGGGAGATGATTTCACCTAAAACCTTCTTTAATCTTTTAGCTAGAACCTTTGCTAAAATTTTGTAAACAGTCCCAATCAAATTGATAGGTCTATACTCTTTTGCTTCTAAAGTACCCTTTCTCTTGGGAATCAAGCATATGAAATTGGAGTTATTTCCTTTGTTTACAATGGATGAATGATAGAAATCATTAAACACCTGTATTAAATAATCTGAATTGATGATGCTCCAACTAATCTGGTAAAAGAAAATTGGGAAGCCATCAGGGCCAGGGGCTCTATCTCCATCCATGCTAAAAACTGCATCCTTTACTTCTTGTTCTTGAAACTCTCTTTCTAGCCACAATTTGTTCTCCTCAGACAGTTTGAGTCCTTCCCAAGAGCTTAAAGAGAGTTTTCTGTTTTCTTTCTTTGAATAAAGATCTTTGAAGAAGTATAAGAAAGCTTCAGAAATTTCCTCAGGGTCCTCCACTTCTCGTTACCCGATTTTTAATTTTGTTATAAAATTTCTTTTTCGCCTACCAGATGCATATATATGGAAGAACCTAGAGTTATTGTCCCCCTCCTTTAACCATCTGACCCTAGATCTTTGTCTCCAGTAAACTTCTTCTCTCCTTATTACCTTTTCCCATTCTTTTCTTAGCTCGAATCTTCTCCTTCTTTCATTCTCATCTAGATGACCAATCTGCTCCTTACGGTCTAAACCGTCCAACTCAAATAAGAGTGCTGATTTCTCTTCCTTGAGGCTTTAACTCCTCTTTGGCCCATTTTTTAACTTCCTTTTTAGAAATTTTAATTTTTCCAGAAATTTGTACCCTGGCCAACCTTCTGACTTACATTCCTCCCACCATAAGGCAACCTTTTTGCAGAAGTCTTTGTGTTCCGTCCAAAATTTTTCCAGCCTGAAAGGGGTTTTCCCTCTAATCTCCAAGTCTGTACTTAAAGTGATAGGCCAGTGACCGAGGTACATCGAGAGCGGATCTCTTGACAGGTCAGGGGGTAATGGGCTTCCCAATCTAAAGTAATTAGAAATCTGTCAAGCCTACAACTTAAGGCATTCTCCTGCATGTTCGACCAGGTAAAGTTGCCATTCCTTAATGGGAGGTCATGCAGCCTGTGTCTGAAAATAAAATTGGAGAACTCCCTCATGCTTCTATTGACCCTCTTCCCCATTGAGTGTTCTTGACTGAATCTCGTGACATTAAAGTCTCCTCCCACAACCCTGAGAAACTTATCATGTTCATGCAAGGAATCCAGCTCTTCCCAAAACCTATTCCTATTTGATGGATCATTATGGCCATAAAATTCTTCTCAATTATCAAAAAATAATATCTCCCACATTTTCTTTAAAAGAAATGGAGAATTTGCCTCCAATATGCACATTCACCGGTTGCATTCCTTCTTTGTGCACCTGCATATTTGAGTTTCTTTAATGATATCTAATTGGTTTTAGTTTCCAGCACGGTTCAAGGTACCAGCAAGCAACATATGTTCTGGTAAGCGAATCCACTGCTTCTTAACCCATTTAAGATAAAAAGAATAAGAAACTCAATACGATAAACTGAAAATAACCGTTATGTATGAATATGTTCATTCTCCTAACTGGCTAATCTCGGTTCATTCAAGAACCATACTGAGCATAGTTATTATATATAACTGCAAATCCTCTAAAGAACAAACCATTGTCAACCCATCGAAAATAAACAAAGTTGAATCAACTTTAGTTGATAAGACACACAAAGGTCAACAGAAACTAATAAGGAGATAACCTCAGTAAAAGGAAAATGGAGATATCGCTGCTCTTACTAAAACCCTAAACCCAGATGCCTAAACTCTAAAAACTCCATATCCATCAAGCCCAAAATTCTCCTACACGTTAAGTAATTACCGCTTTTGAGAATATAATATATAAAATTTACACAGTCCCTCTCTATGTGTATACATGAGAAAGAGAGAGGGAACATAATTCATGGGACTGTATATGAGAACAAGTGAAGAAAACACTGCTGATAACTAACGCCGATAAAAGAAAACATACAGATACAAAGCAAACAATAATCGTTAATAATAGAACTACAGCTGTAAGTAAGTTTCCTGTTTCACTCACATGGTCGACGAGGAGAGCTTCCAAACACTACAGAAATGGAATAGCACCAGGCACCAGTCGAAAGCAATAGAGGGGAAATGAACGATGAATATGTTGTATAACTTGTATTTTTAAGGTTGTGAGAGGCTAAGGGCCGATAGGCCGCGCCGAGGATTAGGAAATTGACGATTTGGCGACATTTTTAATCAAATATTTACTTTTTAGGGTAAATTCTTAAATTATCCCTATTATTTAGCTAATTGACTAACTGTATCTTTACTAGTTATTGTACTCCCTTGCCATTAATTTTCATCATACTCCCATTACATGTAATATTACATGAGTGGCAATTATTTTAAAATTCCTAAAATACCCTTATTTGTTCACCACCATTGTTGTAGGTTGCAACAGTGGCATTGATTTTGGTATCGTCGTCACAGCCTCACAAGCGACAGTAGCCACTGCAACTTCCGAACGACAAAAATTTGGTGAGAAGGAGGTGAAGAAAGTCAAAGGAGGGTTCACAAACACCAAGGTGCCTAGCATCAGTACTTGACTTTTGCAGACACCAAGAGGATAAGGAGAAACGATGAGAGGGAAGATGAAACCCACCTCACACAACACTAATCAATATCCACCCATTCATCGTAATAGATCTGAACGTCGATCTGGATTTCCAACACCTCAAGAAAACTAGAATCTTTTAGACTTCGGTGCCTGTCTTTTTTTTCTCCTTTGATTTCCATTGATACGGATGAATTCAAGGACCCTTGTCCTCTACACTACTCCCCTCATCGTTTCTCTTCCCCCTCATCGTTTCTCCTTATCCAACAGTTTCACGAAGCCAAGGTGTTTCTTCAATGTTTGATAACCTCCCAAGACCCTTGTCCTCTACTTCTCTTTATCTATTAACACCCAAATCTTGGATGTACATTCCACCATTCTCTTAACACCCATTAACAAATTTGAGTGCTTGACAAAAGAAAATTTTCATGATAAAGACAAAAACTATAGTTATAAAATGGCGGAAATGACTAAACTCAGGCGGTCTTACCCTGCTACAGTGCTACTAGCTTGAATGGTTGTGTAAAAAAGATTCAAGGAAAATTCTTATAAAGTAACCTAGTTTTGCACACCACCCTTTCGCGCTCAAAGTTGTGAAGAAATGTAGCTTTCCACTGCAAAATTTGACACTAATTTTCGTGCCTCTTGCCCCATTGGGAGGGTTCAGTTCTTTCCCGTCTCAACCACCCTTTTTGAAAAATGAATAAAGAAGGAGAGAGAGACGAGAGATTTGTTCACTCTCTGTAATCTGAGTACAGAATTGGTGATTGGGGATGGAACAGTTGGAGGAATCCCTGATGCAAGATGAGGAGGGAGTCCACTTTTGGCTGAGAAATGTCGTCGCCGTTGACAATATGATTTTGGGTTTATTTGTTCATAAGTTGGGTTTTATTTTGAAAATTTGATGAATAGTGAAAGGCAAATTTGATATTTCATTTTTTTCATTAGTGTTTACTGGCATGTCAATTGTTAAACAATATGTAAACAATAAAGATAGAGTTAGTCAATTTCACAAATAGTAGGGGTAATTTAAGAAATTTATCCTCACTTTTGATTTCAAACCTTGGAATTATTTTTTGGGTAAATTACAAAGGTCCCCCCGTACGATGGGGACAGTGATAATCACCCCTTAATTTTTCTTTTTTTTTTTGTTCATTGTCTTTTCTCTAACCTTACTTGACCCAAAAATACCTCCATTTTCTCCATAAACAAGAATCATTTCACTAATATGAATTCTTTAAATTTTTGTTCCATTTCTCTGTCATGAATGTCTCTTTTCATCTTAAAATATAAAAATTGATCACTTCGTTCTCAAAAAAAAAAAGAAAAGAAAGAAAGATTAAATAAAACCTTAAATTTATATCTATCAAAACAAAAACTTCTACCATTTCATCTGAATATTGAATCCAACTAGAGATCTATTAGAGCAATTGAGAGGACTTCAATGTTATATTTAGAAAACTAATTGAATCATTAATCGTTCAAATAAATAAGGGTAATTTAGGGATTAAAAATGAATAGCTATATGAGAATCTTTTTTGAATTTAATTTATGAAACTCTAACAAAAGGGGCATTTTGTCACAAAGTGAAAGCTTAGGAGGTCTTTGCTGCAAATGAAAGATCAAGGGATAATTATTGTTACTCAATAGTAGAGGGGTCTTTGCAATTTACCCATTATTTTATCGGAGAAGTACACTGCAACCCATTGCCAAATTCTGAAATTACAGCCCCTTATAGTCTACTAGTAGCCCTTCTATAAATCGCACCTTGCCTGTGGATTTGGCATCAATCCACGGTCAAGATCCATCCCACCTATATGGTGGTGCTAAGAATTCTGAGGTGGGCTGAATAGTCATTCTCCCTTATTTAATTGGCATAGATGCCTCTCTTATTCATAAAAAATGAGCATGGACGTGTTGGCCATTATTACAGGGGTCTTTGTAATTTACTTATTATTTTATTGGTAGAATCGCCTCTCCAATTCATAAAAAATGAGCGTGGATATGTTGGCCAATGTCCAATGTTCAAAGAATCGGATTGCACATGAAACCAAAAAAGATAGAATCTCACAAAGCATAGGTTCAAACCAAGGTAAAAGTGATCTTGAAGAATCAATTTTGTCCAGCTTTGAGTTGCCCTCAATAATAATTGGTCATTTCCTGTCTCAAGCAAAAGGTGAAAACTCCATGGAACCTGAGAAACGTGATTTCAAGCTGCATTCAAATGAGGGATTTGTTCGTAAGAGGCCTATCGTACCATCATGTTTTCCGGGAGGCTAATCAGGCTACGGACTGGCTTGCGCATGAAGCTCAATTTTCTCTTTCGACTCATTTAGTTGTAAATCCCCTTTCTCTTCCTCCTTCCCTTCTTCTTGTTTGCCTTGCTGACATTTGATGATGCACTACCCCCCATTGTGTGTAGTGCAATCTTGGTTTATTCAAAAATAAAAAAAAAAGAATCAATTTTGTCAACCAAGTGATTTTAAGGTTTTCTTTGATTGCGGAGCAAATTTATCTGCACTAGTATAAATGTTTGAAAATGCAAATGTAAAAGATGCAAATTCTTGTTTAATTTTGTTTTAGATTTTCCTTTATTCTGTTTCATGTCTTAATTTACTTCATTTGTAATGCAATCAAACAAAATAAGCTAAATTTTGAAACAAAAATAGGTCAGAATTTACACTTAAATCATTTGCATTGCCATGGCTTTGCATAAGTGCAAATTTATTTACATTGCAACCAAAAACAGCTTAAGGGCTTCGAGGGAATAACATTTTTGTAGTATAAGAAAATAGGCAGTCAAAGCAGAATAGACCCGATTTGAACCACCTCAAGCCAAAATTGAGTCAGTTGGGTTTAATGACCAACATCTATCATCAAGTAGTAGTTTAGAGCAAATTATAAGAAAAATTTAAGGCTAGTGTGGTTGATAGCTGGCCACCTTGGATGATGTGGCATGAAAGGTTTCAAAAACCTCTCCGGCTAAGAAATTGAAAAATATAATAGATATTTGTGAATCAAATGGGGTAGTTATTTTATGTCATTGGATTTGCATACCTATTAATCACTATTTCATTAAAAAAATTGGGGCAATTCTTTCCCTCCCAGATTTAAACAATCCCTCGTTTTCTTCCTTCCCTCCCTCTCTCCATTAGCATCTATCTACATCTATACTAGAAAAGGGAAAGAAGGTAGGTGAGGAGTCCTCTAACCACACAGCTCAACATTTCTTCTCCTCCTCATTTTTCACACATGTGGTTATCCATTTTTAATTAAATTATAAAAATGCAAGAAATTACAATAAAAACCCTCTTAGTTCTTAATTACTAATAAAATCTATCATTACTCTAAAATCTATCATTAGTTCTTAATTACTAATCTATCATTAGATGGGTTTGGGTAAGGTTAAGAGCCAAACCAACCTTAATTTGGAACCTAGCCTGGACCCAAACTTGTATCAAAACCTAATGAGGGAAAGCCACTACAAAAAAAAAGGCTTTTGAAAACAGTCAAAAATTGTTGTCAAATGTTTTACTTACAACTGAACAAACTATTGCTAGTGGAGCCGTTGTTAAAAATATTTTACAACCGATTGTTGTGAAATATGTTTTTTATAACAATCGGATCAATTGTTGACAACAATAGTGTTTTGCAACAACCAATAGCAATTGTTATCAAAATGTTTATTTTAGCAACAATTACTTAAAACTGTTATCCTATATAGATTTTAGCAACAGGTACCATCCCCAACAATTTAGTTGATGCTAATTGTAAATTTACAATAGTTAAAGAATTGTATCTAATAATCATTTTAAGTAACAACCCTTGTAGATTGTTTTGTCAAATGGGCAACAATCAAACAATTGTTGCCTAAAGTTCAATGTACAACAATCATGTTAGTTGTTACCAATTATAAATTTGAAGCAATTGAACAATTGTTTCTTATAAATATTTATAGCAACAGTCTTTGCAAACTATTAATTAAATAACAACAATCAAACAGTTGTTACCTTAAAGTTCCATATGCAACAATCAAATCAATCGTTGCTAATTGTATAGTAGTCACATTATCATTATCATTGATTGTTGTCAATTATCATTTTAATTGTTGCTATTTAATTTAATAAATTGTTGCAAATATTGTAATACCTATTGTTAAAGAAGCAATAAATTAGGAGTTGTTTGATAAATGTATATAACACAACATACACGTGTTAAGCATCTAAATCAAAAACACATGTAAAATGTCAATGTGTGATTCATTAGTATTATAAAAAAAAAAATTACATTCCAACTGCAATTTATACACAACTTGATATATTATAATTTCCAAATTGTTATCATATAAATAATACAATTAACAAATAGAAATTTGATTCAATGTCTCCATCTATATATTCGCAGTTGTGCCTTGGACTAAATAACCATGATAACTAGTTGGTTAAAAATGATGAATAGTTCATGAGAGATTGATTCCACATTTTGAAGATCTTTAACTTTACATGCAATTGTCTTGTAATGGAATACTTGCAGCAAATTACATTCCTTCAAAAAATAGAATATAGTAAGTCAAAAACAAAACAAAATGAATCAAGCATCAAGCATACCATAGGCTAGATCTTATATAAAGGAAACATGGCTAAAGCCTAGTTGAATTGGCTAGAATAAGACAAAATGCTTCAAGAAGCAATTCAGGCTAAATGAAACATCTCTGTAATTTTTTATCCCTCAAGCAAAATCCACAAGTCAAGTGAAAATTTTCATTATGTTAAAAACACTAGTTTAAGTCTAAGAGCATTCACTCCATACAAAACTACCCGAGGTTATATCTGCATCTAGCCCATCCCTTAAAGATCCAAATAATAGGGATACATTGGTTAATTTCCTTTTAGGTTTGTAAAGATTTCTTGTATTCTTTTGTCCAGAAAATCTCTAAGGATCATATAACTATTAGTAATAGAAGATTTTTTAGATTTAAAATTTATTTAAAAGGAATTCAATAAGCAAATTAAAAGAACTGTGTATAGTTAGGAGAAAAGATTACATCTATGTTGATCATGATTCCAACAACTGCCTTGGCCTTTGCAAAGTTCATTAATTCAGATAGCGTCAATAACTTACACTTGTTTACTGGATGTCTTGGCAAAGAAACATTGAATACTAGGCTTTGCAAGTCAGCTAAAATGATAAATCTCCAATGTTATTGGGATCTCTACAACTAAGTAGATAAAATATCTCTTTAACAATTTAAGTTTTACATCAAGTTAACTGGTCTATTCTAACAATGATAAATTAATTTCTAAATTACATTTTAGTCTTTTGTATAATAGTAATTCTACTACTTTAAATGCACATAATAAGTATATTTGGTCAGCAAAAGTAGCCTTCTATTATTAGTACCTTTGGTATAGATAACACCATCAACTCTAGGCTGATTTAGAGTTGTCAATTGGTTGGGCATTCCCTATAGAACCAAATCAATCAAACTAATTATGCCAGTTCTGGTTTTGGGGTTTGGTTCCAAATAATAATTAGAAGTGGACTAGTTCTTGCTATTACAAATTGATTCAAACACAAACTGGTTATATAGTCAATAATATAAGGCCTCTTAGCTTTCGCATAATGTTTGTTATATCTTATCCCTGATTAGGGTCCTAGTCAAGAAACTATCATCTTCCAATCCAAAACAAAGGATCAAGATCTCCCTATGGATAATTTCCTAAGGCAGATGATCCCAAAAAGTCTAAGATAATTGATCTGTTGATGTCATAAGGAGGCGACGGTAGGATCAGCTGAAACAATAGCTTGTTCACATAGGAACCACCATCTTGCATAAAGTAAATGCAAATGCCAAATCTTGAACTAGCCTTTTGGTGAACTGTGCCACCAAAAGTCTGTAAACCTTAGAAGTATATCATATGCAACATGTACATCCAGGAACTATACATCAAAATTAGTGAGGCCATCAAAATGAGCTTTCAACACCAAAAATTGTTCACAAGGAGGTCAAAATCAGCTCATCTGTCTAACCTTTCATATTTTTTAATTCAACAGATTCCTACTTGGTATCAGAGCATCGGCTAGGGTTTCTTGAAGCATTCTCATGCAGCCCTAGATCAGCCGACTGCATTAAGTAGTAAAGGGCTGATCGATCTGCTATAGATTGCCCAGTTCTTGGAGTTTTTGGTGGGAT